CACCCCAATATGATAGATGTATCGTGTTACAGGCGCGGTGGGGTTCATCTCTGAATCACCATTTCCCCCAAAGCGCGGCTTGATTAAAAGATAGTAGATCCAATTACCGGAGGACAACTGTCTGCTTTTTGCGATTTTGGGCAAGGCGCGGTGGGGTCACCGTAAGGTTGGTTACATTCTGGCATTCCTGGCACGAGTCCACGTGGACACGTGTACAAGATCACGGGCATGCCGAACTTTGTGTCGACGGGAGGACAAGCGCTTCTTGGTGCTGTCCTACCGCGTGAACCACTGCAAAGATGGCTGCGACAGAGCGAAAGGGCGGTGTTTTCAAGCCATCAGCATCCGCAGAGGCGAAACGCAATGTAGGGACTCGAGACCGTGTAGGGCCCTCAGAGATGGAAGGAGAAGGCAAAGCAGGAGAGGACGCGACGGAACCACGCAAGCATGGTGGAGCGAGCTAAAGTCTAGTATCTTAATCAAATTTGACCTCATGTGAGGCTACTTTTCAACTTCATTTTCCTTGACTTGTCCTGCCCTTGCTGCGTGAGAAGGAGAAAGATATCCTTACCACCGTACATGACTTTCGCAAAGCGGAATGACAGATTTTTGGTGAGAACTGCGTTTCGTTTCCCATCATTCATAGAAATGCCTGGCAAAGAAGCTTTTTGAGCAACCTTGAAACTTTTTGTATTGATATCTTCGCAATCTGAACGCCCGTTTAGAAAAACAACTAGCTTTTTAAACCCCATTGCATTCTTACTCTTTTAGTGCATTCAAAACACATATCCCGATGTCCTAAAAGATGTTAATACCGAGGGCCAGACAAGGCACCCGATGATGGGCTATTTGCCGCCGGCGAGAATGCATAAAGAAAGTCCATGCTTGAAAGGGTCCATATGGACACGATCTCTGTGACGTATTCGCCTTTCGGCAATACGTAGTAATTGTCTACCGGTCGCGAGGGCTAATATTCGCTCGTATTTTCGCGGCTATATATTGGCCCGGGTCAATGCCGTGTGGCTGCATCACAGCACAAGAGACAAGAGTAAATGCATGGCTCGGACAACGTGCATGCCGCTCCAGTTGGGCAGAATATGGCTATCATTCCAATTGTCTGTAGTTAGTTCAATACAGTACACGTACTACTCTAACAACGATATCTGCAACGCAGATATATGAGTGCCACCCTATATCTGCGTTGTCTCAGCCGTGCGACGAGTTGTGGCGAAGTAGTATGTCGCGACGTAGTACATACGGTATGTGACGAAGTGTGGTGGCGAATTGTGGCGACGAAAGTATGTCGCCGCCCGGCCGAGGCGATACGGTGGCACTCATTTCTCCGCTACAGATATCGGTGCAAGTAAGTATCTCCTCTGATCGCAAACATTGCGTGTTGTCAGCACCGTAGCCATCTGCCCCCGTCAAGCGACAATCGTCGATGAAGCGCTCTGAGCTTAACCTCGCCCAAAAGCAACAAATATGTGCAGAGTTCCAACTGCGCAAAAAGAGCAAGGAGCAGACGTCACAAAGCGCCCTTGCGAAGTGGGCCTCAGTACAGTTTTCCCTTTCCAAACTTCCTGCTCAAGCTGTGATGTCCCGCATCATCAACGGAGAGTATGGTTTTCGTCCCGATATCTCTGCGTACCAAGAAGGGGAATTGCACAGTCCAGATGACGATAAATACTTTTTTTAAGTAAAGCACAGACATTCTGAGAGATGCGGGTCACCGTGACATCGTTATGATACGGTCTCCGGATGTGAATAACCTCCGCAAATGGATACGGATTACGTCCACCGAGCGTATCCATATCGAGAGGGTTCACTGTACAACGTTTCTGTACCCTTGGTACAGTATCCATATTCCGTTCAACTGGAGCGACACACACACGCTGTCCATGGTTGCTCTCGGGCCAAATACCGTACACATATTTGCTCTTGTGCTATGAGATCGGCCGTTCGCCTTCGCCTCGTGCAAATATCATAGCTTCGAGCAAATATGAGCGCTCGCAGCCGACGGACACCTACATAGCATTGCATAGAATCGGGTTTGCAGTTGTGAATGTTACGCACTGAATGGTTGAAGTGCGAGATAAAGTTTTGAAGGAGGTCATCGTTCTGGCAGATATCAAGGTTTTAAGGTCGCTCAAACGTAGTTGTCTGCCTTGGGTTTCGCAGAAGAAAGCCAGGAAGGATTCTGTTCAGAATACAGTTCTCACTGGGATCTATTCTGCCGCAAAGCAGCTCTCAGTTGTTGTTGGCAAAGGTACAGTACAGTATGCTGTATTTTCATTCATGTCATTGAGGCAAGATATCCCTAGAAGAGGGTGCAAAGTAGCCCATGACGTACACCGTACTGTATATGTGTGCACTATCAGCACAAGCCACGCCAAGCAAGCGACAGTGCCGCGCTCCGAAGGCCAGTGCGGAAGCTGTTCACAGCTCACAGCTCACATGAGCAGCATTACTGTATTGCCTGCACTGTCCCGACGCGTCTGGCATCCCGGACGTAGCAAAGCGCCACGTCAAAGAGAGCCTACCCCCGCAACGGAGATGGTTGACGTCAAGCGACTCGGGAGCGAGCGGCGGCG